AACTCTCTCCTTGCTGGACCTACCCTTGGAACAGACGAAGTTTCTACCTGGCTATGGTTGGAAGCCACCGGATCAAGGCTGGACGAAGATAAACACATATGCTAGTGTTGCAGTGCTTGATCATAGAAGTGGAGCTAGAGGTGTGACACGGACTTCCTCGACCTTCTTGGCTGCCTGGAGTAAGCCCTACACCCACATCACAGATCCGTTGATTGCCGAGGTGTTTGCTCTTCGAGATGGGGTGGTATTCACACAGCTTCGTGGCTTTTCGCAAGTGTTCATGGATACAGACTGCTTAGAACTGGTTCAGCTATGGCACTCGCGACGGTTTTCTCGCTCCATCGTAGCGCCGCTTTTATTAGAAATAGAAGAGCTAGCCTTATCTTTTCTTTCCTTTGATGTTCAACATGTACTGAGAAACTCCAATATATCGGCCCACTTGTGTGCTAAGCATGCTTGCACCTTGGGGATCACCGACTGCTGGATGGACTCCCCCTGGCTTCCTCATGACCAGCGTCCTGGCTGATCGTGCGGGAACAGAGAATAGTTGAATAAAGCTCGAAGTTTCCCGCAAAAAAACAAAAACCAATATATTATGGTCATATACCGATCAATAACATAGCACATACATTTTTTTTAGAAAAGGAGGACGACCCCCGGCCTCTGCATGTGGGAGATGCATAAGACCACTTTATTGATTATTCTCGAGGACCTTACAAAGTGTTACAACAATAAGCCTGAATCCACCATCTAGGCAACATATGCTGCTACTCCTATCCATATAATGAAGGGGTGCTAGCTGGGCCACTACCCAAACCACTCACCTAAACCTAACATCAAAAGCCGGAATCCCCAGCCTAGCCACATACCGGGTCTGGGGCATAAACCGGTTTGACACACTCACAGGTGTCGTCTCCACCATCTTCCACTGGTCCATCTCCAAGCAGATTGAGGTGCCAACCTTGGCAAGCTCCTCCGCCATCAACGCCACCATGACGCCAAATGACGACCACCACCTACACTAGAACATCGCCAAGCAGATGGAGCGCTACCACAAGATGAAGATCAGCGGTAGAATAGATAAAACGCCACACACATTGTCGCCGCCAAACACCTCACACGCACCACAAAGCGCCCACCGTGCTTCCGGGAACCCCAGGCGACGCCTTCAAGAAGGAGCGCGACGAAGGTACGACGCCGTCGCCCGCAAGGGGAACTAGAGCTTTCGCCCAAATGAAGAGCACAGTGAGAAACGGGATAGGACCTCGACAAGGCCTCCAAGAAGGGAACCGACGCCCACAAGGCGCCGCCATTGTCGTGGCCTCCGCCGACAGCCAAGGGTTTCCCCCGATCCCGCCCCCGTCCCATCCACCCGACCAAAGACCTGTCCAGGGGAGCGCACACAGCCGGAGAAGGCGTTGGACTTCATCGAAGCAGGCACGCCGGGTGACGGGGCACCCCGACCCACCGTAGTAGACGTCCACCGAGACCTCGCCACCCGCACAGCCGAAGTCGCGGATCACCGGCTCCCACGGCCGTCGCCCGTCGAGAGGCCATGCTGTCC